CCCTCCCACCCCCACCCCATCAGGAGGGTACCACAGCTGCTTAAGTCGGATGTTTGCACAGGACAAACACGTTGTCCTGTGGAGAGACTTTCTCCTTTCAGAAATGCATTAACTTCATCTTAAGCGGAGTCGGGTCGGTCCCCGCTGCTGACCGAGGCCCAGCGCCAGCGCTGAGACCTGACTGTATTTCTGCTAAGTAAGTGCCATGTCGCGCACCTTCCTCTGCCGGGAAGGGACCTTTACCCGCGGCACGCGTCCGTGCTACATGGGCAGCTCAAAGATGGCGTGAACACCAAAGCACCTGTAACCAGGTGGCGTAGCATGTGCTGAAATACAGCTGGAGGGTACATCTCGTTACCTCATGAGGCAGTGACTTCTGGGCTACAAACACGAGGGTTCACCCCTCGCTGGCCCTATTGCCTGGCAGATAACTAGGCAGCATCAATTTCCTTGCTTGTTCAGTGTGTTAACAGTAACACAGCCGTATTCAGTTACTATGCAACAACCAAGTTAGGTTCATTTGGTCAAAAATCTCCTTTTCTGTTTTTTGGGTTTGTTTTTTTTTTCCTCCCGAGCAGCATCTGACTTGTTGTTTTTCAATATACTATGTGCAGAACACAGACCCCAGAAAGGCAGGGAAGGGGTATGAATAAGGCAGTGTCACACAGCACTGTTTTGACACCAAAGGCCACATCCTTGCTGATAAGCAGCATTTAAGTCAGGAGCGGGCAGAGTCTTCCCTGGCGTGATAGCTGCAGCAAGCACTTTCTCACTAGAGCTGGCTGGGGAACAAAAAAAAAAAAAATTTTCTGCTTCATGGAAGAAGTTGTTTGCTTGAAATTTCCCCCGACCAGAAGATACCTTGACCCTGCAGCTGTCCAGTGAGACTGATGCCTTTGTCAGCAGGGAGAGGAAAAAATGTCCTTATTCAAAGAGCATCTGCAGGGGAACCTCTCCCAGAGGCCACCCCGAGCCCCCCCCAGCCGCAGGCTCCCAGTGTGGTGGGAACCCTCTGGTGCCGTCCATGGCGGAGGCACCCTGCGGCGTGCCTACCCCCAGCGCAGACCTCTGCAAGGAGCCTGGGTAGCAATCCCTCCCAATCTGCTTGGCTGCAGTTTACCCGAGGCTCCATTGATTTATTCTTTTGTCCAAAGGGAAAAAAAAGGGGGGAGGGAGGGAACGACCAAGAAAAATTAGCTCAGTCATTCTGCTTTTTATGTGAAACTTCTGACCAATTCCAGTTCTTAGGGCTAAGTGCCATGGACTAGAGTAAATGAGACCAGCGTTCCTGTGGGTCTTCCTATCCCCTTGGCAGCCAGCTAGGGGCTGCTTTTGGCCACTGGCTCTCCCCGATGACCCCCTGGGACCCCCGGCTGCACCCTGCACACACGCTGCCTTTCAGCACTGGCAGTTCGTGGTAGTGGAGGGAGATGACAAAGATTTGCATGCTGCTGCCGCCGGCGGGGAAGAGTTGTGCATTTGCACTCTCCGGCACTTTCTCACTGGTTTAGGGAAGGCAGCATACCCAGAGCTGCCGTGCCGTGCAAGTGAACTGAATTCACTGGTCCCCAGATGAGGTTTCTTTCTGTAAGTGGGTCTTGCCGCTGATGGAAATAGCAGGAGATGTAGCAATCTGCTGCCATTCTGCCTGAGCGCTCGCGTTCTAATCTCCAGCAGCCTCAGCCTGTGGGAAGGAGCTCCCTGGGTTGCCTGTCTACAAGTGCACCCATCTGCTCGAATTTGGACTTCCAGAATTTGCAACAGAGCCAAATCCACGTAATTTTGAAATAATCCCAGGCTTTCACGTTTAAAAAGCAAAACTGCGAGAGGAAGGGAGTGTCCAACCTCCCTACTCGAGCCAGGCTCCCAGAGGTTGCTTTCAGAGCCATGTTTCAGTGCTGGATTCAGCCCAAGGATTTCTTTAGACAGCACAGGGTCTTTTCAGAAGGTATTTCTTGCTGCAGAATAATATAATGGGCCCTTAATCAGTGCACATGACAAGGCCATTTATCATTTGTGAGCCAAATGTGAAAAGAATTGTGCTTTTGTTTTGCCTTTTCTCCTACCTCCTTCGGAGATCCCTTTTCCACCATTTCCACATCTGATCTCCAGGATTTCTTCCCCAGAGGGGATGTGTGTGTGGGGATAAGTGCTCATGACAGTGCTACATCTGCACCTCACATAAAATGTTCTCAGCTTCCTTCCTGTTACTGTCTAGAGACCACATCACAGAGAAGTGTTTTCAAGGAGCCAAATCTTTAAACTGATTTTTAAATCCCATCTAAAGCTTGTGACTTCCCCTTGGAAAATGCATCCATGCAGGGCAAGCACTGGGAATGCTTTGTCCTGGGGCTTGACTTACTCTGCTCCAGTGTTTGCACAGCAGCCCACACATGAATAAGGAAGCTGGCAAAATCCCTTTACAATTTGTAAGCATCTCACATCTAGCTTAAGAAAATAATTATGTAAATTCTCCACTCCCCTGGAGAGGTTTTGGAAGAAAACTAAAGAGACGCAATACAAAAAAATGCTCAGGGCTGCCATTTTGCACCACAACTCCTCTTCTCTCTGCAGCTGCCTGCCCCACTACCCTGTCGCCCTGATAACTCTGCTTTGCTCCTACTGCTTGGTGGCACTGGCCACCATCTAGACAGCTTGGCAAATGAGCTACCCATGAACTTCTCCAGGATGAATGCACCAAGCTGGTACAGAGCAGCTCAGGGCCTGCAGGTCAGCTGCAGGTGATCATCGGGTACCCAAAAAAGTGCAGCCAGGTATCCAGAGTGAAGATATTGAATAAGCAGGATAGCATCTTGCCTGTATCATCACATTGTGATGTCCCAAAAAAGTTGCTTGTAACAATGGTAGACAAAAAAAAACCCCTACGTTAATCTGGAACTGGGATTTTTAAATGGAGGGCATCCCTGTAATCAAGCATAAATCAAAGCCCTTTCCCTTTCCTCTCCTAGTATGTGGCATTTTGGACTTGGTTCATATACCTCTCTGTTTTCCCGCTTTCCCAGTTCCAGCAGCAATCTTTGTTGTTACTAGCATAAAGAAAACAAAACTGAGGTCTCTGCTTATCTACAGAGTTGTGCCCTTCCAAGGCAGTTTTTTATCACTTACATGCTACCCTCCAGATAAGTGTGATTTTGACTATTATTTTCTAAGTGACTGAATACTGATTGTATGATTGCACGTTCCCTAGAGTTCCCTGAACCACAGCTTGTCCGTGCAAACAATGTGTTCCATAAACAAATGAGCTGTGAAATGATTGCATATGAATGACATGCACTTAATAAATGGTGCTGTATTATGTCCTTGAGCACACTGATAGTTCAACAAGAGGGAAAGAAAAGGGAGAATATTCTCATACTTGTGCTGCATTAGGTTCTCACGGCTACATGGAACAAAGTGCATTGCTGCATAAACAGGCAATCAAACTTTCTGCCTTGTGGGTCCCATAATTACATACAGAAGGGGAATATAGGATTTTTTGTACTGCATGCAGAAATAACCTTTGATTACAAAATAGATTGGCAAAAAGAAGTGACAGATCTTCAATACCTACAAAAAATTAAATCAATCGTTAGAGTAAAACTTTTCAACATTTCTCTCTCTCTCTCTTGCATTCTCACTTTGGCTTCTCTGTATCTAGCAATGCCTCTCAGAGCTCCTTAATGCTCTGCGTGAACTTTCAAATTAAAACCTTTTATCTTAATGGGAATTCTAATCCTACTGGGACATGTTTGCCTAGCTGCGCTTATCATCCCATCACGAGAAGGTTTTTTTTGCTCAGGATTTCCTTTGATTCGTGTTCTACAGCAGAGAAGTGAAGGCACCAGAACAGCTGACTGCTGCTAACAATCGTGGAAAAGCTGAGACATTATAGCCGTTCTGTGAATTAAAATACTGTAGCTATTATCTAAAATTGGCGGCAGAGAATTCCTATGGGTTTTCAAGATATATCGCTTTGGCAGCACCTGCGTATGTGAGAACCAGGGCAGACTGTAAGAGCTTGCTGGCTCACTGGATAACCCCACTGTTAAAGCCCTTTGAAATTTTGCACAATTGTGAAACGAGATCCTTCAACTTTCTCCATGGTAACACCCCTGTTGTTTTCCTTTGTTGACAGTGGAAGGCCTGAAAGTAGTGGAGATTGAGAAATGCAAGAGTGACATTAAAAAGATGAGGGAGGAAATGGCAGCAAGAAACAGCAGGTAAGTTCTGCTTTGGACCTAACCAAAGAAATAAGCATCTGCTTTCAAAGCCTAATGCAACGCTTCCGCAGAGTTGAGTTACCTTCTGGGCTTAGAAGTAAAGGAAACCAATAACCATTACGGGCAGTAGCTTTAATTTAACATTTGAAGATCTATAGCCATTCATCTGTTAAAATAGGTCGGGCCGCGGGAATAGAGAAAAAGGTGTTGTAACAGAGAGTTATTTTTCACTATATGGAATGGGAATTCTTCATCCAGATTTACTAGGAGAGAGGGAAAGGGAAAAGAACTTCTGCAAAGTATGGTGTTTTGTTGGGAACCAGCTAATACTCGAATCAGCTCCAATATATTCTGGGAAAATATCAAATAAATATGTAGCAGCTCTTCTAATTATGATCTCATGCTATTATAAAACATCCATTTCAAATTCAATAGGAAATTGGGAATTTATTTTCTAATTCAAGGGCTCGCTGTGATTGTGAAGCTCAGTTTTGCTGTAATTAAAACAGCAGCAGAAAAAATTACATTTTGTGTGGTATGCACTCTTGGCTGGAAAGTATGCCCCTGTGTCACTGAAGTACCCCATTAGGACAAACAAATCATCAGTGTGAGATTATGAATACTTCTGCGAAGGTCGCTGAAGAGGGATATACTGCGTTGCTCAAAGTGTGGGTGAAGGGGATTTTTCTCATCAAATGTAACTATGCTATCTTGACAGCCTCTCTTTTTTGCTTCATTTGGGGTCAAATTCTCTGACCTTTAATCAAAGCTATTTCCTATTGAGGGCAGTGGGAGATTTGCTAAAAGAATTAGGCTTTATAATCACTTGCTTTTATAAATTTTACTATCCAGATATGTCAGGAGGCACGGTGTTAATACATTCCTATTCAGTTCAAGGCCACAGTCGGCTGTCATACTAGCATAAATGCAGAGTAACATTATTAACCTCAGATCTGCCCCAGATTTGTACCAGTAGGATGGATTGCAGTTTGCCCTGTGACTTGCATAGTTTCTTGTTCATGTGTGTGAGGAAATGTCATCAGAAAAATCAAAGCTCAGATTGGCAGCAAATGCAAAAGCATGTATGCTGATTTGTGCTGGGTGTGATGTGAATAACGCGTGTGCACGTCTTTACTTTTCCTCAATTGTTGTAGGGAGCTGGGAGAGCTGCATTTTTGAGTATCGTGATGCCCAGGCAGATAGGGAATTAAAATGAAAAAAAGAAGTTATGGCAACTTCACGTTCGCCCAGTTGCCACCACACACATCAGGAAGTACGAGATTCCCAGCAGCAGCCATGACTCATTCCTGTCCCAGACCTTGTCACCTTACAATCTCTATTTTGTAATATAAACAGCAATCTGTTAACAAGAAAAACAGGAATGGGGAGTGCTACATCTAGCCAGTGCTGCTGGCTCCAGCTGAGGTGTAGTCTTCACTGAGGGCTTGTAGTGAGATACAACAGCTGCCAAAAGCCAGAGACCAGCACGGAGCGTGATGCTGGAAAGCTGTGGTAAAAACCGGTGCAGTGCTCAGCAGCAGGTAGTGCTGGGCACAGATGCCCAAGCTAGCTTGCTCTGAGCTCACACTGCATAGCTGCTTTCACTGGAGCAGGAGCCTAATTTGCTCTGCTCAGCATCGCTTTGTGCCGTATCGATGTGGCAGCAACCCGTCACAGCTCTTCTTGGCTGCCTTGAGCTGGGTCTTCTTGCTCCTGGCTGCACAAAAGCTCCTCCTCGCACAAAATTCTGCCCATGACTATCTGTACCCTAAGGGTTTGGGTCTGAAAGCAGCAGCTAGATGTGGCTAGGTTCAGTGTATAACCAGGGGTGGCTACGAGTCACCTCTTCTTGTTCTGGGGAGAGGATGCTCCTTGATGGCTGGCCATTAAGAAGGACCCCATTGGGAGCTGCTGAGGAATGAGCTATGGTTTCCTATTCCCGAGCAACCACAGCTCCACAGGAGCCATGCCACTAGCCTGCGGTGACCCCAGCCTAGGGGTGCTTCACCCCAGAGCGGCTGAGCAAGCTCTCTCCCACTGGCGTGAGATACATGCATGCTGCGGGAGGAACAGAGGCCTCTCAGGGCAAGTGGAAATGGTTTTGCTCCTATTTAGACTTGGTATCCTTTGTGCAATGTCATTTGCAAGATAATGTGTTACAGTTGCAATTAGGGATCACATCTAAATTTAATTAATGTACATAAGTATGTGTGAGTGCATATATTCCTTCAATAATATCACAGTGTACACAGCTGTATTCTTGTATGTTTACATGTTCTTACATTTGCTGTTAAATTACCAAACAACAGAGTAAGGATGAACAGCGAGGTTTATAAAAGTCATCATGCACAGTGAATTGTGCGTATCTCCTCTTCAGAAGAGCAAAGCAGCTCCACTTGCATGCCCTCAAATTGCTTTTTTTGCTAGTCTGCTTTTGGCACTCACCACTGGCAGATGCTAATAACATTATAGCATCATTTAAAATCACGATCATTTGCAGATACAGTTTTACATTTGTAAAGGTCTGATGCATCCTGGCTCTGGTGTGTTCCCCAGTGTGGTAGGATGAAGGTTTTGATGTCTTACTACAGCTGGGAATTAAAGATATTTGGCTGACCTCAGGTAACCCTAGCCGCCAGCTCCAATTAGGGCAAGGAGTGCCCCAATCTCACTATTTTTATACTACTAATACCCCTCTGTCCTGGTTGCAGCTGGGATAGAGATAATTTTCTTCCTAACAGCTGGTATAGTGCTATGTTTTGAATTTAGGATGAAAATAATGTTGATAACACACTGATGTTTTAGCTGTTGCTAAGCAATGTTTACAATTAAGTCAAAGATTTCTCAGCTCCCCAGGCCCTGCCAGCGAGGAGGCATGAGCCTTCCGCAGGAGGTGCACAAGAAGCTGGGAGGAGGGGCAGCCAGGACAGCTGACCCAAACTGGCCAAAGGGATATTCCATACCATATGGCGTCAGTATATTAGCTGGGGGGAGCTGGCCATGGAGGGCTGCATTTCAAGAGCTCGCTGGGCATCAGTCAGCGGGTGGTGAGCAATTGTGCTGTGCATCACTTGTTTTGTATATTCTTTTATCACTATCATCATAATCATTATTATTATCATTATTATTTTCTTCCTCTGTCCTATTAAACTGTCTTTATCTCAACCCACGAGTTTTAGGTTTTTTCAAGTCTCTCCCCCATCCCACTGTGGGGGAGAGGAGTGAGCGAACGGCTCTGTGGTTGTTTTAGCTGCCTGCTGGGTTAAACCACAACACCCTCACAGTGGAGCTTTGAGGAAACAGCTTCAGAAACGATTAAGACAGATTTTCACCAGCTGAGAATCTCTTTAAACAGGGCAGAAAAAGGCAGCTGGTTGAAGCTAGCTGACCACCATGAACTGTAAGATGACAGAACTTTTGCAGGATTCAGACACCATCACAAATGACAGCAGACATCAATGTTAAGAGGAGTAAAAAAAAGAGACCCATACCAATTCCCAACAGAGAAGAGAAGCACTAAAAAGAGATGCAATACAGAATATGCCAAATAATCTAAAAAGGGACAAATGAAGTTAATAGAATACTTTGGTTGGCTTCTTGGGGGCGGGGGGGCAGGCATATCTTTTAGCTTTATTTGGCAGAAGGCTTGAAAAATGAGAAAGGATAATCCAAATGTTAGGACTACAGGGATAAGTGCCAAATGCAAGCAGATCAACCTCCCGTGAGAGTTACTAAAGTCCATGTGACCAACTACCTGGAAAACACGTGTTGAGTTAAAGTATTACAATGGCCATGGGTGATACCACAGAGCTGTCAGTTTTATCGTGCCCCGTGTGGCTGTAAGGCAAGAAACTTCTCTCGCACTGCAGTGCAGCAACCTAGATGTTCTGCAAAGGCTGTAAGGCTGGTGTGCACCTCCCACCATCACAGTCCTCTGCTCAGGTGGGGTAGCAGCATCTTGGCTCTTCCGCATGCAGAGGAAGGAAGAGTAGGTAACTTGGCAGTGGGTGCTGGTGTTACTAACCAGGCAAGGTCTAATTACCTGTAATTGCTGGTTCCCTTCCTTCAGGACTGGGAAGCCAAGCAGACTGTGTCTGCTGAGCCTGTGCCTCACTTCTGTTGTCCTGCCTGAAGGGCAACAGGCAAGACGGTCATGCCATCAAAATGGATGGTCTTACCAAAGCTTTTACCGAGGCCTGGAGCTGGGCTGCAGTAAGCCATGGGCTTAGTGGGTGCCCACACTAGTAAATAAGTGCCAGTGTCCATATGCAGCATGGCCCCTGGCAGGGCTCTGCCGTCCTCGGAGAGCTATGCCTGCCACAGACAGCAAGCTGCTCGCTGAAAGGAAAGTTACTTGGTTTAAATAGAAGTGGTCGGGTACCCATGGATGCACACCCGAAGACAGATGCTCCTCGCTTGAATTCAAATAGATGGAGAAGGGGTGACAGGGATGTTGCACAAGGGGAGGAAATCCTAAAGAGGATCACACTTTTAGAGCATTTGAGCAACACCACATTAGAAAGGGAGAGGTTGGGGAGTGGGGTAATTCTCCGAGCGATGCCTTATGAGAGACCAGAGTACTTCCAGCATTTTTCAAGGCACTGTTCTGTTCCCACAATGTTAAGAGCTGAATATTTCATTTCAGGACTAACTGTCCCTGCAAGTACAGCTTTTTGGACGAAAACAAGAGGCCGACTCCCCGGCGGGATGTACCATCCTACCCAAAGGTACCACACAATGCTTGCTCTTCCCAGAATCCTACCACGTGCTTGCCATTCTGACAAGTGCTGGTTTACAATGCATGACTCCCTAGCCATCTACCTCCTAGTTATTCTAAATCCAGGGCCTGATCCAAAACCCCTGGAAGCCAATGGAAAAAGCTGTCATTGCCTGTGGTGACTTAAAGTTGGATCCTCAGTAGTCTTTAATACTTGAAAGCTCATTAGTGTTTGAAATGCTAATGAACATTTTGCATTCATCAACATTTAATGCTCTTTTGTCTAGTTACATTTGTTTATTCTCCACGCTTACAGTAAACAATCAAAAATAGCTTATAATGTTGTACTCTAATTGAAAATAGTGCTGCTGCCTGTTTTCTCCTAATGGATTATTTTTTAATTTAAAAAGTAATTTATGGAGATGCTTCACCTAGGGAAACAAAGAGAAAATGCGACATTGGATTCTCTCCAGAATGATTCATTGTCCCTGTGAAAATGAGTTAGTGTATTTGCTAGAGAAAACAGCAATGCTTGAAGAAAAATATCTACCGAGCAAGTACAAGTACAAATCCACAGTGATGAATGAGGCCAAAACCATGAAGCACACAGGATCTTTGGTCCTAGAACCAGCAGTCTTTGTCCACAGGAATTATTCAAAGCTATGAGGTTATGTCTGCTCAGTCCCCAGCTCACACCTTGACAAAACACCAGCTCACACATGTGCAAATCGTAGTTTATAACAGTGGGCAGTTGCTTGCACACATCAAAGCTGGCTCAGCCAGCCTGAAGATCACGTGGTGCCGTGTGATGCAGGTGTGATATGGACATGCATCCTTGCATATTTGTCTTCCGAGCCTTACAGAGCAACCAATTACAAGTTCTGCTGTTTATTCTGCTCTGCCTAGCAAAAGTGACCTCTGGGTCTCTGAAGCAGACGTCGTGAGACTTACGTTTCTTTAATTAACTTTTGCCCAAGAGGCTTGTGCTCCTGACACTAACACGTTTTCGCAAAAAATATCAGTTCTAAACCAAGTATTTTCCCTAGATGACTATACGTGTCAGATCAAACTTTGATGTACTGCTATGATATTAGGATCTTGAATTAACAACAAATGCTACGAAGAGTTGTACTGACTGACTGCAGAGTAAACTGGTAGTTTGTATTTCTGTATTATCCCTAGACGAAAGCTCATAGGAGTTTTGGTTTCACAAGTTTGTGTTCTGTTCGACAGATTTGCAAAATTTGTTATCAGTAGTCAGGTGCTGGATTTGTCCACTGTCACTGAGGCTAGGAAGTGATGAGTATATTGAAAGAAGATGTCATTACAACACTGTTATCAAATAGCAAATCTGTACTGCTAATTCAGTTTTCTTGCAGAACGTCATATTAAATGTACATTCTATACGCAAATGCAAAAATCATTGCCTTCTCAAGAAGGAAAATTAATCTTCGGTATTATTCTTCCTTGGATTAATTATCAACAATTACAATTTGATGGTTCAGAAAATTTCATTCACCTGCTCAGTACAGTAAGCCCTAACTAATTAGAGACAGCTAGGGTAAATGGGCCAACTGAAGCTACAAGGTTTTTGTGTCCCAGAAAGACTCTGATCAATACAGTCTTGAAAAGATGAATCAGTAGAGTCCAGATCTCCCCAGGTCTTTTAACCCTCCACATTCCCTTTTTTCATTTTGTATACAAATTGTAACTGGCCAATGTGCTTGATTTTGTTTTAAGCCTCTGAGTGTAATGATAAAAAATCACTTGAATCTTGCAGGCTGACAAGCAATTTGAAAATGTGGGTGTTCTTGAAAAAATACTCAAAATGAGAGCATAACTCATCTGACAGTAAATATATCATACCCACCAGCTAATTTAACACTGTAAGCATAGACACTTCACACCATCCAGCCATGACTGGCTGCATCGAACGTTGCCGATGCTCCGCAGGCAGCAGAACCAATGCAGCCGGGGATAGATCTGTGCCCTGTGCCCTTTATATCCCCATGCAGGGTTTACCCACAACCCCATCCATAACACCTCTGCTCTCCTCCCTTTTCTCCAAACCCTCCGCCTCCCCGCTCCGCAAGGATCTCCACCAATCAAGCAGCCGGCCAGCTGGTGCTGTGGCAGGCAGTGAGCTGCCTGGGGGCTTTCTGCCCACCAGGCGTGGGCATCCTGGTGTGACCACCAGCAGCCGGTGGGGAGGGCCAGGAGGGTTGGGCAGGCAGAGGGAGAGATCATTTTCTCTCTCCTCGGGAAATATGGCTAAACCCTGCGTGAATGGAGCTCCGGAAGTCTCAAGGACATGCCAGTAGCAGGTCCCATGCCAGGGTGGGGGACCCTTACTTACACTGACTGCCTTTTTGACTGCAGTACATGCTGTCCCAGGAGACCATTGAAGCACTTCGGAAACCAACCTTTGACGTCTGGCTGTGGGAGCCCAATGAGGTAAGGATGCCATGTTAGCTGGGTTAGCACTGTTTCTGAGAGCCAGCAAGGATAGAAGAGCCCTTTGAGATGGCCTGAAGGGTTTTCCCCCTTTTCTACCCCTTACTCTCTATACTTTTTTTCATATCACACCACAATACAGTACTTTTTCCTAACAGATGCCAGATAGATTATGATGATTATCATATCGACTCCTCTTTATTTTTTCCTTTAATCTCTTCCTAGTAATGTCCCACAACAACTGGTGCACAATCATTACTGCCACATGAGTTCTCTTGTGCCATTTTATCTGAACAAATCAATCCCTAGCAAAGTGCATGCTTAAGCACATCATCAATAACTCCGCTCAAATCAATAAAGCAGTGTGCTGGTGTGTGAAGCCAGGCAGAGGTGCATGCATTGATTCACACCCTTTTGGGCCGATGTTTTTCTGAGGTGTATTCTGAAGAGATTGCAGAGCTGCATGCACAGCCTATTAGTATTTTCTTATTGATTCATTTTCTTTTTTTTTTTTTCTCATTGCTTTTGCTATTTTTCTTATTGCTTTTAGTATTATTCCTTGTTCATCACTTGTATTGCAGAAGGTTCTGAAAGCCCCATGTGTAAACCTCTGTAGAAACACGAAGGAGAAGGATGTTTCTGTAATGACCAGTTACAACATAATGTAAAACCAGATTCAGAAAATATGACCAAACCTCACCTGGGAAAAAATGTAAGGGAAAACAGGACTAAACCAGCATTTTAGTGTTGGATTTTTCCCAAGGGAAGGATTGGGTGGTTCTAGCAGCACCCCCAGCATCAGTCACCTTAATTACCTTCTCAATCAGATATTGTGCATACAAGAATCATTCTGGCTCAGCACCTGTAGATCAACATGACAAGGAAAAATACCTCCCCCCCCCCCCCCCCACGGTAACAGCATATTCCTTTCAGGATATTTCATCTGGCTGGTAGAATAACAGAAGGACTCCCTGGTGACTTTAGCTCCATCTCCCATTCACACAGGCTGGCAGAGCTTCCCTTGTGCGGTCCGTGCCAAGCTGAGGCTGGTGCTCTGCGGTTACTGCTCCCTCTCCAGCCCCTTTCCTCTGTACCACAGCCATACAACTGCTCAGGCAAAATGGCTCGCCCCCAGCTTTTGAATGCCTGTCAGGTCTTTGCAGCAAGAGAGAATTACGACCTGCCAGGTGGACCAGAACACTGTTGGCTCATTGTTGTTCTAACTATTAAGAAAGAATAGGGAGAGACAAAAACCATTATCCACGGATTCTTGTGTGCTGAGGCATAGTATTTTAGCACAGTAACTCATTCAGCATACTAGGAAAACACTAGAAATGGTGGCATGAGCAAGGCTAACAAGAGGGTGCAGAGATTAGACATGCCCTGCAAGGAGGAGTGCTGCTCTGAAATAAGATACTGCACAAACTCTGCTGAGCCGAGCACCATATGGGTTTATCTCACCCTTTTAGCTCTGGTTTATGTTTACAGAGAATATTTCAATTCTGTCAGTGCTTGTTTAGCAATGAGTATTTGCCCACGTGCTCAGAGTGGGCCGGGCAGTCTTCTGTAAGCAAATTAATAACGTTGTGCTCTGCAGCATCTCAGTAAACAGAGCTACGCAGCAAGCTTGCGTTCTCGTTCTCAAATGCCCGCTCACCACTATTAAGCCTTAGAAGAGTCCAATATTCAAGATTTTGCTGTCGAGCAAGAAAGCTAAAAATGAGAACTGAGATTTTCATGTGTTCAGGCGCAGGAGCTTGGGACTTAGAGTCACCCTGCCACTCACCTGGAGCTCTCTTGGCAACAGCTGGAGGGAGACAGGCATTTCTGAGGGTAATCCAGCCCTTCTGGATCAAGTTTATTGGCTCAGAAAGTCTTTTCTGAAACTATTGCAAAACATATATTCTGCCTCAGGGACTAGGAACAAGGCAAGGTGGTCTACAGCAAAATGCTGTGCATGTGATCTGAGCACAATTCAGCTCATGACATTGTCCCTCAAGTCTTGCAGGGACGTCTCTTTCTTCCTGTTCGGATGACTCAAACTCCTTTGTTACTGCGTGAACTATGTATATTCCCTGGATGAATATAAAGTTTCATTAGATGAAATTATTTTTCTGGAGAGTTTTTAAGAGCCTGAATAACAGAAACTTAACTAAAAATGTCTCCAAGGCCATTTTTGTGACATTACACTCGTTGTGTTAAAACCCCTGGATCAGTCTACACTCTAAAACCTGCATCTGCTAATATAAAGGCTACATTTCATCTCCTGCAGATTTTGCCTTCAGAAATGGGGATGCAGATACATAAACTCCTGAACTCCCGGAATTCTGTTCATTTCTGACTGGTGGCAGATGCTAAGTGCCCAGACACATAAGATTGTCAATACCTCTTTTTTTTTTTTTCCCCCAATGTTTTCAAACCCAGAAGATTAACCGAGAGTGGTAGTGCTAAACTATCTGCATCCCCCTTCCTACCTCAGAGCAGATGTTGTCTCAAAAGAGCAGCCTACCTTTGCCTTTCAGCTATTGGGCTTTACAGTTGCAGTTTGCAGGAGTGGATGGTCACAAGCCTGCTGCAATTTTATAGGGTTATAATGGGAGACCTTTTGTTGAACAAGAAATCTGAGTTAAGATAGTGGAGTTAGGAACTCACAAGAAGTCGTAAAGAAAGAAGATATTGACACATATCTAGAATAAATGTTTCTTTAAGGATCTCCTATTTTCTGCTGTTATTTTCTATACAGCTAGGGCCTGATCCATTTCTGTACAGCTAGGGCCTTTGGAGTCAGTGGGAAAACTCCCACTGATTTCATTGAGCGTTAGAACATATCCCAGCTGAATTAGAAAAATGGCAATACTTTTTTGTGAGAAGGAATTGCTATGATACACGTGAATCACAAGTACTAAAGAGAGCTGGTGTGATTCAAAGCCCTGCACAAAACCTATGGAGTCAAGAGCAATCTGTCTACTTCAAAAAGCTTTCAGAACCTTTCTGTCTCCCCTCTTGCACTGTCTTTAATCATGCAATCTTTGAACATTTTTCTTTCATCTTAACAAGAGGGCTCTGCAATTATTTGATGCTTGCAAGGAGGAAATTCACTCTGCAATGTATCGTAAAGTACAGAGATTTTTACCAAGCCAATAACCTGTCTGTTCCTGGCTGCAGATGCTGAGTTGTTTGGAACATATGTACCATGATCTTGGGTTGGTAAAAGACTTCAACATCAATCCTATCACGTTAAAAAGGTGGTTGGTAAGTATTTCAAATTACTGATTTTTTGCAATTTTTCAAATTCTAAAATCAATAAACAAAATATTTAGTCATGGAATTAACTTCACTCACATGAGTAATCCCACTGAAAGCAGTCAATCTATACAAATTCTTAAAACGTAAGTACTTCAGCAAATGTTTGCATTCTTGTGGTAACAGATGACATTTTTCAAACTGTTTTACATTTGTTTGCTGAGCTTTCTATTACTGAAAGCAGTTCATTTCTGGTGAATGCTCTTGGTACCTAATGTAAATGGAGACAAGATGAGTGTCTTCAGAGATGGCCAAAAAAAAGCCAGTATGTGCAATAATCATTAGACGTCCTAAATCACAGGGAGTAAAAGAGCGAGGCAGGAAGGAAAAGGAATTGCTGAGAAGTTAAATAACTTTATTTGCCTTGGTTTTTAATGTTGAACATGTTGCAGAGATGCAAGACATAATAAAGATGACATCATACCAAAACTAAGATGTCTAAAGAAGAAACACTGGAGTATTTAAAAATCAATAAGTTATCAGATCTAAGGGAAAGCATAAGAAAGATTTTGCTAAAAAGCTGAAGAATATATTGGCTTTGTCAGAAAAAACCCCATCATGTTCCTAGACAACTGTAGAACAGTAAATATTTCACCCATTTTTTAAAAAGGATCTAGGGATAGCCTGAAGAATTATAGTTAGCAAAACTTATATCTCTACCTGACAAATTGATTGAAACAATAATTAAAACCATCATGATGTGAAGTTCATTATACAGATGTTTCCTATGATTCCTGTAGCAAAGAATTACATCTCACTAATTTCTTCTAATTACCTGAAGAGTATGGACAGAATAGAGGAAACTGTTTTACATGATTGATGTAGAGTCCCAGAAAGGCCTGAAGAAATTCCACAAATTCAGAAAGTGGCTAGAAAACACAAAGCAAAACACTGGATTCATCATATCGTGAAGTACAGCAAGAGCAGAAAACCCCAGGGCACCAGCGTACGTACGCAGGGTAGTGACCATCACGGCTTGGTGTGCTGCTGCCGGCTGAAGCCAGCAAGGCATTAGGCTGATCAGAGGTTGGAATAAGGGATAAAATGGAGCAATGTTACCATGTCTCCATAGAAGGCATAAGGTTTACCTGGATTTTATGCCTAGGACTGGTTAAGTCTTTTTAGAAAAATGTATGACTCCATTAAAGGAGATATAAAAAATGATCGAGACCTAGGAAAACTCTCCCCAAAGAAGGCAGATGAAAAGCTCAGTATCGTTGACCTTAGAAAGCAGCTGAACAGAAGGGGTGGGATGAAACCAAATACAATCAAGGCTAGCACAGAGCAGATAAAACAGAGAATTTCCTCCTCCTGTATCACAGCCTGAAAACATGGGAAACAAGGTGATACGTCAACACACATCAACATGCCACCCACACACGTTACTGCAGGCAGCTTCCTGTTAGGTTCTGTCTCCAAGTAATTTGTCAAGGCTAGCATTTGAGACAGCCTTATTCTGAACAACAAGGCGAGTTTATGATTACGTATTTTCTACAAAGGTAAGACAGGGCGAGATTTCCTTTCTTAAACACTAGATTCGCAGAAAGAAAGATGATTTAAAAAAGCCCCAAGGACTCTGCTTCAAACTATGATACTTCCCCAGGCACAGTATGGGCACCAGTTTGAACTTAAGTGGGGAGAAAAAGCCACCTCATACATATGCTTGCTTTCTTGCTCCCACATATGCTGGCTACAGAAATGTTCCAGAAAGGGGAGGCAAGGATGACTTATATAACCCAGTCACTCCAGCCATTCAGGGCTCTGAGTCAGGAGTCTCCTGGGATTCTCTGGGCTCCATTGCTGGATGTATACATTACATCCGTGCAGTGTTGTATGGTGCCTGGGCATGACCACTTTTCTAAAGTCCATGCTGCAGAATAATTGGAACAGTTTTTGCAACGAAGCCCCTAAATATTGAATTAGCATTGGAAGCCCACAGTTCTCTTGACCTTTTCAGGACCTTTGAGGCTTCCTAGAAGTCAGGTCCCAGGTTGAAGGGTTTGATCTTGATGGGGCTTGAGGACTCTTGATGTAAATTCACTATTTAGCTGGAGAAGGGCAGACGAATTCTGTCACAGAAGGGGTCCGGCAGTGCTGCTGATGTTTGGCTGTTTTGTGCAGGACAGGATAGCAAAGGCTATACAGTGCATTGGAAGAATGACTGTGGCATGTGTTAACTCAGCTGTGCCAGCTTCACTCAGCTAGCCCGGCTGACCGTAGCAAAGACACGTGGAAAGACAAGCTTTAGCTTGCATTTGTAACGAGGGCACATAGCCAGGATCTGTAGAAAGTTAAAAGACACAAAAATCAATCCCATGTGCCTGTGTGGCTAAATCTCCCCCATGCTGCCTCGCGTAGGAAATCCACACAGGTATGCTACTGCATGTGCATTCGCATCTTCGCTTCGCCAAGCAACACATCCCAAAGTGCCACCTCTGAGCATTTACAAATGAAATAACAACTACATTTCAGCCTTGAAGATTTCAAAGCTGCAATTTGCATTTGGCAAGGGAGGGGAATGGGGATGTACTTTGAGTTCTTTACACATCCCAAAGTCACCGTTTAACCACTGCACAGTTTGAAATACAAATTCAGGATGAGAGCACAGAGTCCTATCTCAAGGCTGAGATGCACTTGCAGCTGTGCTGGGATGTTTACCCATTGCTAGCTGGTATGAGAGAGAAGTTGCTATGAGCTTTACCTGCTGACAAATTCTTGAAAGGTAGTAATCTCTCACCCTCCCCAGGAAGGTAGAGAGTGTCAGAGGGCCTTGTGCTGTCACTCAGTCCTAGCAGAAAATAATCATGGGCTCCACAGGACCCCTGTAGGGATATACAGTGCTTCCAGGGAGGCTGGGAAGCCTGTGTAATCATGTTTTTATAAAGAAAGAGCTCTCCTGTCTCTGACTGCTTCATTCCCTCTCTCTGCAGCTGTGTATTCATGACAATTACAGAAACAACCCCTTTCATAATTTCCGGCACTGCTTCTGTGTGACCCAGATGATGTACAGCATGATATCGCTCTGCAGCCTCCAGGTATGCCCCCCACCTCAATAGTATCGCTCCATTTCCATCATGAGGCACATATTCATCCATGTAGCACCACGACACCTGTGCCACTCTTCTTGCAAAACAGGCCACCAGCTTGCTAGCAGGTGATGAGCTTTGTAGCAGCTGCACTTGTTCAGTCCCTGGGGAGAGAAGGTGGGGTGTTGCACTTCCACCTCTGGCTGCCCGCTCAGCCATCCCATCCCAGACCCCAAGCACCTACATAGTTTTCTGAGGCTGCTGGGAAACTACCTTCACCTCCTGGATATCCCAGATTTATACACCAAAGGTCTTTTGACACTAATAGTATGAAACATCTGAGGATCAGATCCAAAGGCCTACCGAATTACGGTCTGTGGATGTGGTCTTCATCTGTGACACAAAATGTTCCAACAAGGTTTTCTCCAAATGTGTGCTTGCACCTGGGTGAGCTACTGCAAATAATGCCTTGCATGTACTGTACACAAGATTCACATTCCACTTGTACTTTGACCAAAACTATAGGCATTATCTACTTTCCTTGACTGGGTAACCTGTGTTTATATATTCATTTCTGTACAAACCAGATTTTATTCAGTTAAAAACCCCTTTTCTTCTCCATACCTAAACATCTCAGTTACTGGCCTAAGCCTATTTTCTTGCCAGAAAGAGTATGAAGAAAAATTTGGTTTAATGGAAGTTCATCCTGTTCAGAAGCTGTGGGAATGCAACACTTAATTTTTCTCACTCTTTTTATAACTTTAGTTAATGCAGAATGCAATGGCAACTAAGCTGTCTTCCAGCCCTCCCTTAACTAATCAGGATGCTCAAATGACTTGTAAGAGACTAATACCTCAGTGCTTTTATATGATCTCTGCAGTAATAGCAAGTTTCAAGCAAATTGCCTCCTCTGAGCTGCTGTTATTTAATGCAACAAAGGCAAATCTGAGTCATTTTTGCTGGAAGGGAAGGCAGAATTCTCTTTCTTGACTGAAGTAAATTGATCTATGGAAAAATACTTCATTTTGCTCAGATTTGCATTTCCCTAAAAAGTAAATGTTGGTAGGTTTTTCACTTCTTTTAATTTATGGGGATAGGGGAAGTAGAAATTGCAATACCACATTAATGTTTTGTATTTTGCAGGAGAAATTTTCCCAAATTGACATCTTGATTCTCATGACTGCAGCAGTATGCCATGACTTGGACCATCCAGGCTATAACAATACGTAAGTCTGTCTCTTGCTTTCTCTTCCCTTAAAATTTATTGGGAAGGTAATACCAGCTGGCATTTTTGGTAGATCAGGTTTTCCTCCTCACAGTTTGAGCTGGCCTTGACCTTCCCCCAAGGCCCCACTGTTCACTCACACGTGGGCCAAGGCAGAGCTTCATGCAGAAAACTCAGGTCTGGGTTGGGTTTGACAGCTGTCCTTGGCTCTGTAAGAAAAATGCTTTTTCAGATTTCTATTCCAACACTTTCCCCCACTCCTGAGAAAACAAGGTAAAATATCTTACAGCTGAGAGAAAGGGGATAAATGATTACAGCTCCATTGACTGAAATGGAATATTTACACTAAAATGCAAAGGGTGATTTAACTTACACATTATTTCATAATTTTAAATTGTGAAGTGCATATTATTCTATTTATTATCATATGAGGAAATTAGAATTGTTGACCCATGGACACTTTTGTGTGCATGCATGTGTGTGTGAAAAAGAGAGAGAATCTAATTTATTTGCAGCCGTTCATTAAATAAGGGCAGAAAGCAATTCTGACTGAGATCAGTGAGAATCTGTCCATCGCCATTAGTGGGGGTTGAATGAACCCCAGACAGTTCCGTCTGTGTTTGTTCTATGTCATTTTAAGCTACACAGACTTGGTAAAATTTAGAAAAAAACCTGCAGGGGAAGAGTGCCTGAGATGATATTAAAGTAATATGTGTCTTCTCTAAAAATCTGATTTAGTATTAACAATCAAAAACCAAACTGCAGCTAATTGAATAAGCATTGAAAAGAATGTAAATAAAAGTAAGCAGCATGGTTTAGAGCAGCTGGTGCGTGTCTGCAGGAGTTCTCACTGTTTTTCTTCACATCAGCTATCAGATAAACGCACGAACTGAGCTTGCGGTACGCTACAATGACATCTCCCCACTGGAGAACCACCACTGTGCTGTGGCTTTCCAGATCATTTCCCAGCCAGAATACAACATTTTCTCCAACGTCGACCAGGACCAATTTAAACAGATAAGACAGGTACGAATGCTGCTCCCATCTGTGTCATACAAACTGTTCCTGAAGATGTAAGCATTCACAGACTTCCCTGCTGTACAATGCGAGTGAATCATTCTCCCTAGAGGGTAGGACTGAAAAAGCCCCTCACACTGGAAGGATCCAAGAGGGATTCTTGGAAAATTTCCACAGCAGCACTCCCTGGAATGTCTTGCTGAGAAATAATGAGTACATCCTGACTATTAAAGCCTATGACATTTTGGGGGTAGATATTTATATTACTGTAGGAGCCAATTAGCTCTGACTGGGAAAGGATTAAGTTCTCATGGCAGAAGTTTATGCTTTCAGAGAACATTGCATTAATTTTAAAAGGGGCTTCAAAATGGGAAAAGATTTACAACAGCAGAGCACTTGTACTGTTGGAGGAGGGTCTGGTGGACTGGGAGCCATCACAGTTAGCTCTGAGACAGTGAACAATACTACAATTCCCATTAGAGCACTAAGGGCCAAAATTCGGTCTTAGTTTCCATGTTACACCTTCCTTACACACCAAATGAAAAAGCAGACCAATGTAAGGGCTCAGATACCGCTCTGGTTGCAGTTACTGATTCTGCCAGTGCATGGGAAGCAGGCATGGGCCCAAAATAGATAGATCTGTACGAAAACCCGCAACTTTAAATTAACTACGTGTTTTCCCATCATAAACTCTGCCTGGCAGGATGATACAGAGCTCCTAACACATTGAGTGCTTCTGGGTATTTCAAAGCCCTTAATCCAAGGAGGATGAGTCCAGAGGACATCCACATCTACTTATCTTTGTCTCTTCCTAAGGCCACTAAGAGTCAGCAGCAAAACCTGTAGTGCTTTCCAAGGAGCCAAAAGCAGATCTTGGCAAACAGAGCGTGGCTTTTAACATCCTGTTGTACAGTTTGTTTTTCCACAATTAGTCAATCAGAAAGGAAAAACGTCAATGTCTCCAGAATATCACACCAGTGTTACAGATCGACCCAACCGTGATCTTCATATACCCTGAACTCTTTATAACCCTCTTCCAGTTTGCTTGGCAATTTCAAGTCAGAAACTTCCCCTTTCAGTGTTAACAATGTAATCCATCTGAGGCTTTTTTGTGTGTAAGAAAGACCCTGCTTTGCTCTGCAATAGTAGACTTTGTAAAGCATGTCAAGTTAATATGTGAACATGTTTTCTTTGCTAGGGGATAATTACGTTAATCCTGGCTACAGACATGGCGAGACATGCAGAAATACTGGACTCTTTCAAGGAAAAAATGGAAAATTTTGATTACTCAAATGAAGAACACATGACCTGTGTAAGGAGGTTTTGTAGATTATTATTTTTCTGTGCATAGTGCAAAAGCTTGTAGATTAACATTAGTTTGTTTAAAAACCAAGTTTCAATATACTTTATCAAAAACGAATCCTACCTACATCCTCTGCCCCACCAAACAGAATTAAAATTTGGAAGTGCTTTATATAAAATAGATTATTCCAGCTTTAGAAATCCTGGAGTCTCATCAAGAAATAAATAATTACTCTGTCAGGATACAAGTTCTTATTGACCATTACTGTGGGGCAAAAAGTATCCACAAGAGTACAAACTCTCGTCTTCTCTGCCTCCTAATCCAGTCATTTTTGACGTCCAGCGAAGCCTCTCCCCAGCTGCCTCTGAGTGCTCCACAAACAACTTCATGGTCATTTCTGGTTGAATCTTCATGTAGCAGATATAGATAAGCGCGTCCCGCTGTGACACATCCCAGTGCTACAGACAGGGAAACTGAGGCAGGGAGGGGATAAGTGATTTACACAGGGTAACTGAGAGAGTGGAAAAGAATCCAGATCATGTAAGACATCTGATTTAATCCTAAAACTGTGCTTTCTGTTGGAAAACATTGGCTCCTATTGCATTGTAAAGACACAGGTCTGGATAGGGGAAAAAGGGATGGCAGTAAGACTGCAGTATTAAAGTATTATCCTCTTTCAGCTGAAGATGGTATTGATAAAATGCTGTGATATCTCCAATGAAGTCCGCCCGATGGAAGTAGCGGAGCCCTGGGTAGATTGCTTATTAGAGGAATATTTTATGCAGGTAAGAATGAGGGAGAGATGCAGTTGCACAAATTGCTGCTCTTCCTGAATCCCACCTCAGCTATGGGTGCTCTGCTGTCTGACATCCCAGTCTAGCTCTAGGATGGAAAGGCTTCTTTTACAGAAAGCGAGAGAAGGATGTCAGCAAGAAAAGCTGTTCACAAAGCTAGTGAATGCAACTGACTGTAATTTGCAGATGAAAGGCAATAGCAACCTAGAAATTCTAATGTTAGCAGACTGAAGCTTGTTCTCTATAAAGTGGCTGCCTTCCAAGTTCGTTTGACGTGTAAGTGATTTTTGAGCCAAAAGGGCAAGAGCAGTGGCAAGAGAAAGTTGGCCAGTAAATGATAGCAAATATCACACAGGAACTAGTATAAATAAATTTTACTCTGTGTGAACAGTTGCTAAAGAGAAAGCAGACGACTTGCTGAGGTGTGCAAAGTCAGACTTTAAGCTCCCCAGACCATTGCTCCTCACTGGATTCCGAGCTGGACGCAGTTTCTGACTGCTTAAAAAGGATCCCTGGAAAAGCAGCCCTCAGCTGCCTCTGGCACACGGGCTCCTGAGCAGTGTGTACATGCTGCAGCAGTGGGATCCCAAGAGATGCGCAGCTGCAATGCTCTGAGGAGGAGATGCCAGAGCTTTCTTGTCTGTACCTTGACAGGGTGCGTGCTGAGGAGGGCTTCTCACAAGAGACAGACACCTCTGATGATGTGTCAGATGCACTCCTCGCTCACTCCATCTGCAGCATTTTACTCAAAATTACAGTATTTGTGTGCCTTACTGTTTGGGCCACCCAGCAAAAGTACTATGTGCCAAAACTTCCAATAATTGAGAAAGAAAGTCTGCTGCAGGATATCTTTTTTACACTCATAGTCTGTGACCTCCTTGCACATGAACCCACACAGAAACAGTGAGTTATGTGGTCAAGTAGATATAGCTTGGTAAACTCACTGCAGTCAATGGAACTGTTCTCCATTGACCCAGCTAGCCAGAACTAGTTTTAATCATTAGTAAAGAAGGATATGTAATTTCTGGTTGAATACCTGAAAATAATCACTCTCTGGAGAATGATGAGGAAATCAAAGAGCCATTCCTTCTCTTCCAGAACGGCAAAAGCCATTACTACCTTTCTGAATGCTCAGAAATAGTTTACCTCCCAAGTCCCATGGGTTTGCAAAGGGAACCAGGTGGCCTCATTGTCCTGTAAGTCTGGAGGTGAACGCTTTCATGCCAGTACTGTGCAGATGTAACCAGAGTTCTCTTTATTCAGATGCTTGCTCTCCACAAAGCAGGATACCTTGTCCCGAGGGCAGCATATTGCTATTCTATGCAATCTTCAGACACCACTGAGATCTGTATCTGAAAGCTACTGCTCTTTCTTTAGCAAGTGATGTACTTGGTACATTACTCTCCTCACAGGCTTCTAGCTGAGATTAATATTTGTTAACTCTGGATTTGTTACAGAGTGACCGAGAAAAATCCGAAGGGCTTCCAGTGGCACCATTCATGGACCGCGATAAAGTGACCAAGCCGACAGCACAGATTGGCTTCCTCAAGTTCGTTCTCATCCCCATGTTCGAAACAGTAACAAAGGTAAGTCACCCAAGGCCAGAAGCAGAAGTGGGGGCATGCGGAGCTTAAATGTATGCTCCGACAGGTGTTCAGTCAGCCAGGGAAATGGGAATGGAGAGTTCACGTTCTGCCTTTCAGCCCATTTCTAGCATGTACAGGTTAACAAGTACAAAAGGAAATGTTGATATTCTCTCTCTTGTTTTCACCTAGCTGTTTCCAGAAGTGGAGGAGGTGATGCTCCAGCCCCTTTGGGAATCCAGGGACCGCTATGAGGAATTAAAACAGATAGATGATGCTATGAAAGAGGTAAGCTCTAAATATCTTATTGGTACAGCAAACGTTATGATTGAATAAGTCAAACATTATAATTTAATAGCAGTTTAATTCCAAAACAGTAGGAATGCTTATGGTGTAATTATCATGAGAAACACATTCATTACACCTGGTTGGAGAAAGGTGTGTATCACAAGCCATAAGCTAGTGCAAGAAAGTGCCCTTGCAGAGTCCACCAGGCACCACACAAGCACGGCCATGGGAAGGGAGCTGCTTGAAGAAAGGGACCTGGAGAAAAAACCCAGAGATAACCACCTGAGGGGAGTGCATTAGCAAACACGTCTCCCAGGAAGGAGCAACATTCCCCTGGGAAGGAGTAAGCCTGAGCTAGATTGCAGCAAAATGTCCTGAGGTTGGGCATTTCAAGGCACTGCACCACCAATGCATAAATGTCTCTTCTGGGAACAAACTTCTACTGACACATCTATCATCAAGGATGTGCCTGAAATTTTATGAGAAATTTTTTCTCATACACACAGCATCCAGTCAGATTAAATACACAACCAATGCAGCCATTTTATGTCCCAGGCTGAGTGAGGACCTCCATTCACAGTGTCTCTCATTTTGACATGTAAGTCTTAGGGGAGGAAGGATATACATGTAACCACATTTGCTCTCTCTGGCCACGCCTGCGTTGCTTGACAGGGCAGAGAGGAAGGCTGGGCTGTGGGAGCAGGTGCCCCGCACCCGCAGTGCAGCAGCCGGTGTGCTGGCCCGGCTCCGGCAGCACCCTGCAGCCTGAGACGCTGAGCCGGCACGCCTGCCTTGCCCGCCTCTTCGAGTGCTTCTGTTCCCTGCCAAGGCAGATGACAAAACTGGCCCAAATGGCATCACAGTGTAGGGGTTTTCTGACATGAACAAATTTATCATGTAGACAGGATACTATCAGTCAGTCATTAATTCCTATTCATCTTTCAAGTTGAGCTGAGATTTTACTTCTGGTTTAGAGAAGCTGTCAGAAGAGAAATTTTATACAAACTGATGGAGCTTTAATTACGGTGTATTGGCACAAGAGGTCTTAGGGAAATAGGAGATGCCTGAATTCAAAAATACCCTGAAACAAGAGGAGTTAGTTAATAATCTGAGAGCCTAGCGCAGCAGATGATGAGAAAGACCGAGTGCTGTTTACTCAGGACATACATCCAGAGCTGTCTGGATTAAATGGTGCCTGTGATATATCAAGCTGCTGCGTGTTATTTCCCAAGAAAAGTTGCACATGCCTTGTGCAGAGATGAACATTCGACTCACAGCAGCAGTGGAAAGCAGCACTCTGTAAGTCAGGGGTATTAATCCTGCTTTGCTCTTCATTTCAGTTGCAGAAGAAGAAAAGTGAAAATTTGACCACCGGCAGTACCGACAAGTGAGACGAAAGAGTCTTTGAGCAAAAGATAAGCCCTAAGGTTATTCTGGTTTTGAGAAATGCTGTATTTGCCAAACAGACATGGTGGCTACATCAAAATCCAACTGAGACTATGTATGCGGAGAGGTGGCAGGCACGGATGCCCTGCCTGCCTGTCTGCCTGCCCAGACGCCTTGTCTACAGCCTGCAGCCTGCTCGCACGGGCGCTGCCGCCATCAGGCACCGAGGGCTCCCCTTGCTCCGGCGCGCCCATAGCAGCCCCCTCGGCAGGACTAACCCTGCGGACATTGCACAGGTTGCAGCACGGCTCAAATCTTCAGCAGATTTGCCTTTTTTGTAGAGTCAGTCTGTAGAGACAAAGCGGAGTTTTAGCTAAGGAGCCTTTTCAGGAAAATGATCCACTGGCATCCAAAAACAAAAGTTGTTTTAGTCATGCTACTACATGTATGTGTACAGCAGTATGCTACTTACAGCGTAGCTTAACAGATGCTTATATTCTGACAGGGGTCCTGGCATATATTTTTGTTTGCCTAGTAGGCCCTAATGACACATTTCTCTGTATTATTCTCTGAATTTTATAGTGTTCATAGTACGTTCAGAAGCCCAGCATAGTGGATGAAATTTTCTTTGTTTTCTACACTAGAAGAAATCAGAAGGAACCTTAGTGAGTTTGCAGGTTCGCTTTGTTGCCTGGTACAGCTAGATGGCACGGGATCCTTTGGCACAAGCAAGGAAGGGAGCACAAAGCTGAAACCACTGTGTGAGCGTATTTTTATCCTCATGGATGCAAAAAGCAACAACAAGAAAAACCTTCAAAGATGTACAGATTTTTTTTACTTCTAAACCGATCTGCTAAATAATATATTCTTCTACAGAAATGGGTGTTGTACTTGTTTTCATTTGCATATGCATTCATGTGAGAACTGTCCTGTTCTTAAAGACAAATGCTTTCCTAATGAATATAAGGTGAGGGTCTGTAAAGGAGAGAGTCGAGTTGGTTCCCCTTAAAAGGAGAAGCTTTAGAAACATTTTTTTGTTGTATGCTTGCATCATAAGCGCAATACTGAAAGAGCGTCACTTCCCTTGATCACTTTGTAAAGGTTGGGAGCCAAGCTCTGCCCGGAGGTGCAGCCATGCAGAGACAGCAGGCAATACTGCGATCGCCTCCTGTGCACCACCTTGCCAAAGGGAAGGCCGTAAAGAAATCCCCCTTCCTTGTGCCCCTGAGAAGTGAGCCATGGCCATGCTGCTCACGCACTCCTGGTTTCTCCCACCGGTGAAAGGTTGCTCTCCCTGGGGGTTTCAGCAGACAGGATCAGTTCCTATCAGGGCATGGCTGCTGATAGGAGTGATGCGCATGCACCCTGGCTTGCTGGCATCCCGCGCCGGCAGCCGTAGGCACGCAGCCAGCGAAGCATCATGCATGTTGCTCCGCACCTCCTTGGCTCAGTTCCTGAGGCTGCCCCATCAACTTTGCTGAGTGCATTAGCAGTGAGGGTAATGCTAGTTAGTGCTGTGCCTCTGCAAAGTCCAAAGCCGCATATGTTGTCTTAGCTTGTGTTTCAAAGTGAGATGTGGGAGGCCAGTCTTTCCCCCCGTGACCCAGAAAACACCTTAGGCTTAAGCTCAACCTCTCTGGCAGGTGTCTAGTACCAAGCTCACCACTGAACAACAAACCCTGCCTCCTGCTCTGGAAATTCAGATTTGTTTTCCTGTGTTTTCTGCACATTAATTCTGAGCTTAACTCTTGTTTCTCCCCCAGTGCCATTTCCCATGCTTGGTGTCTCTGTTTTGCACAAAATTTTATTATTTCAGCTACTCTCCAGTCTCTCAGGGAGATCAGTATTACCTTGAAACATTCATCCCTCTACCCTATTCCTGCCTGCACATTTCCAGAGATCCAGGACAGACCCACAGCTAGTTCTCTCTGCTGGTGCCTCTTTCTGCCCAAGCTGCCTTCTCCTTTAAACGGGGGTGGGGGAAGTGGGGGTGGGATTGTTGTTTCTTTTTGTTGGGTTTTTTTTGTGTATGCGTGTGTGCTTTTGGGCTTTCTGCTGCAAACTGGAAAAGAGTCTGATCCCCAGAGTTGAACAGTCTTGGGGGACCCCACGGGAGAGGGGACAATCCAAGCACAAGGTCAGCTCCAAGCTACACAGACATCTTCATGAATGGATGAACTAAACCCTAGTTTACATTAACCTCAAACTTCTGATGCTTGAAAGTTGGATCTGAATTACGTGGTTTGGGCCTTTTTTCTGTAGTAAATCTTATAATCCAAAGTACATTGTGACCCAGATTGTTCTGCTGTGGAACTCTTTGCTTCTTTTTCACAAGTAAATCAAATTTACCATTTCCATTCAAGTGGATTTCCGTCACAAATCAGCTCCCAAAGCAGATGTGCTGTGCAGAAGCTATAAACAATTGTTTAGGATATGCCAAGTCCTGCACTGAGCTAGTTCCATTAGATGAGAAAACCTGCTGTAGGAACTTGACTGCACCCTCCTCCCACTAAAACTGTTTAAGAGTTAGATCCTGATAGGAAGTTTTGTTTCAGTTGGAAGGATTTTCTCTAACCATAAACCCTAATCCCACAAGTATTTATGAATGCACTTAACTCCCACAAGCCTAGTCATGGACCCTGGCGTACAGTAGCTAATTGCATAGTGCAGGCTCCTTAGCTTTCTCTAATTGAAGTGCATGGGAGTTTGAGAACTGATGGCCCTTGGTGCTTGTTTTGGCTCTGTCATTTTTAAGAGCAACCTGAAAACTGGAGAGAGAGATGATCAGAAGACGTTGGTGAAATCCCACTAACTTTATTGGAGCTGCGTCAGAAACATGGGGAAGGGAACGCAGCCCCTCCTCAGGGCTGCACTAGTGACTGTCACAATGCTGTAACATGCTGTGCAGTTTATTGAAAGAACAGGCAACATCCAGGCTGCTATTCGTACACAGCTGTAAAAAAAACCACATGCAATTGCAACCAGCTATTGGTATAAATGGGAATATCACAGCATTTTTTAATCTCATTTGCCTTTGTAATATTAGATTTCTAAGAGACAATCCTCCCAACATATGTTTAACCAAGGGGAATGCAAGGCATTCTCTCATAATTCTAGTTTCTTATACTTCTTCCATAATATTTGTCTCTGTGATTCATATGCAAATTAACAGATTTGAGAATCTTGGCAATCAGCCCATTAAAATGTCACGCATTTTTCAGGATGGCATTTTAAAACTACACTTAGCATGAAAATGAAGTTTTTTGAGGCAGCCAGACAGATGTCTCAAGTGTGATTTAATCTTTTCTCTCCCTAATCCAATGAATAAGAGTGAATATTACATCTCAGTGGTGTTGTTTCAGCTTACGGTAGGTGCCTCACAAAGAACTTTCTATGATCTGTTGCACGCGTCTTTTCAGCATCATGACAGTGCCACATGTATCCCAGCCTTACATCGCTTCTCCTATCCTTGTGATCGAAGGTGAATATGAAACAGGTTATGACTATTCCATGCCATTTAGCTTGGAAAACTCACAATGAGCCCTGGGATTTTACTTCTTATTTTTTTAAAGCCATGAGATCCCACAGGCCCATACTCACTTCATTTTTTAGTGTGGTTTTCGTAATCGGATCAAAGTAAGGCTATAGTATAACTGCATATCTTGGGAAGGAAACAGCTTTTAAAAAATGTGAATACCCCCACAGCAGCCAATTTGCAATGAAAATTTAGTGTGTGTTAAATACATGGGTTATGTAATGCCAAAGAAGTATCTATACACGGAAATTGTTAATCTCAGTTCTGCCTCTGAGCAGCAATAATAACAGCATCTGTTCCATATGGGAGCAAAGAGTGCTGGTGCGGAGTATGATCCCATTAGGAGAAGCACCGTCAAGCAGTATTCAATTTTCCTGTTTAAACAGTGGGCTTTTACTGCGGACTGCCCCTTCCAACTGGAAACATCTGAAGAACAAGTCTTACCTTTCTGTCTGGTTTGCTGTATTAAAAGCACGCACACACTTTATCCTCCCAGCATATTGTTCTGTTTTGCTGTGAAGGTTTCTGTGACACAGAGCAGACACAGTGGGGCAAATCACCTACGCTACTAAGGTAAAATCTCCCCATATTTACCTCTTCCCACACTATCATTTGCTTCATTTCCCTGTGGCAAAGCGGGGTGTAAAACACAGCAACACGCCTGTTAGTGACAAGGAGAACTCAGCCCCAGTCTGCAGGAAGGATGCATGTGAAAGGACAGCTTTGATATAGGGCCATCCAGCTCCTGCTCTGACTCCCAATGTAAAAAAATTACTTTCCAAGAGGTTGTTCTGGAACCAGGCACATCCCAGCTCCAGGCTGTGGTCCAGAGGACACCAGGCAGGTCCTGCCCTCCTGAGCCACCTCTCTGAATGCACAACCCTCTGCCATGCAGCACCCTTGTGATTAAGGCTGTTCAGTGCCAGCAAAGTGAAGCAAAGACTTCCTACATTGTGTTTAAAACTGCTTGGATGCTGCTTTTCCAGGCAACGTGGCAGTGCAGCGGGTGATCCTTCCTTTCTCTCAGCTCTCCAGGGCAGTGCCTAGGCAGAGGTAAAGTTTGTACTCTGAAAAAATGGCGCACTGGATTCCTGGTCTGTGTGTGGGTGCTATGATAGCACAAGAAACCAGTAAGTCTTAATAATAAACCCAGCTCTGCCACTGGCTTCAAATACCACCTGGGGCAAGTCACCAAGCCAGGGTTTCCCTCTCCTTTTAAACAGAGACCCACCTCTGTAAAGCACCTTGTGGTATTTGGATGTCAAATGCTTCTCACTGCAAGAACCAAGAGTTACTATTTTCAGAAAATATTACTTCATAGAAACTTCTAGCCAAAAAACTTATTAGATGTTCTCATAAATGAAGAAGCTGTAACTGACAAGTCAAACATCTCTTTCTTCATGATCATGTTGTAGTAGATCTGGCTCTTTGCTAGTGAGAAGTCATACTTCTCACTGCCTAACACACATA